TCTCCATCGAACGAACGCTTTACACTTTCGAAAAGGTTTGGTCTTTCATCGGACTGGGGACCGACGAGACCTGCAACTAGGTCACCATGACAGGTATGTGATTGCTTTTGCTTCACAGTAAGGAGATGAAGTCTATGAAATACTGTATGTCTTTACTTTTCCTTACTGCAAAAGGGCTCAATAATTTCCCAATAATCTTCTATATGTCTTGAGTGGAAGAAGCTTAAATGCCTAACCATATATTATTCTTCCCGTTCAGACAACCCGACGATAACGTATGGCGTCAAAGATGGGGAAACCGTGTATCTCGTGAACCAGAGCACCAACACTTGCTTGGCTGTCACGAGCGGATCAAGCCCTGATGACGCCGTGGTCGGCATGGCCCCGTATGATGGGAGCCAGGGACAGCAGTGGACTAGGTCTGGGGACCAGTGGCTATGGGGAGGAAACTCCTCATACTGTCTGGAGCCGATTTCTGGCACAAACAACGTAGGTCTAGGGAACACTAGCAATTCATCAGCTTCCTGGGTCTATGATGAGTCTGAGAGAATAGTGTTGGGGTCAGATGCTCTGGATGTACCATGGACAGAGCCGAGGACACAAGTCATACTGTATCCTATGCATGATGGCCTTCACCAGAAATGGTGGTTTGAGTCTCTGGAAACCAAAGAACCAGAATATCTCATCAGTCAGAGTACCACTACGTGCCTCGCAGTACGCAGTGGTTCCGTGCCAAGTGATGCTGAAGTTGGACTCCTGAATTGTAGTGGAAGCAAGGAAGAGGGCTGGTTCCCCTTCGGCGGCTTTGGGTGCAGATTACAGCACTCGGGATGTGAAACTAGAAGATAGTAGTAATTCGACTGCAATCTGGACCTGGGACGAAGCTGAGAGATTCAGGATTGGCTCATATGCTCTTGATGTTCCTTGGGAAGATCCAAGAACAAAAGTTTGGTTGTATTCTCCCTACGATGGACCCAACCAAAAGTGGTGGAAATTCTCCGACTTGAAAACAATTCCAGAAGGAGCTCCACCGGCAGTCTACCCATTCCCTGGTAGTGATGAAACAACATACAAGCAGGAAATAGCTAGAGGAATCATAAATGATATGAGTTCAAAGTCTGATCCTCTTCCATACCCTCGAGATGTGGCTACCTTTCCTGGAACAGTTGATGCTAGCACACCAAGAGTTACAAAGAAGGTGACTCTAGATCTGTCTGTACTTGGACAAGACAGAGATTTCCGAATGAGAGTTCCCTGGGACTGGCAGCTCACGGACCTGTACCTAGCGGGAGACGTGTGTCAGGTTATTCTGCTGAAACTTTATCAGAGGCACAAGCACTGCAGATCACTGTTCGCATTGGTGCACAAACTGACTGGATTCAACCAAAGTCTTCTAATGTCATCAATTTGCATTACAGACGCATGCCCATAGTGTCTGAGGCATTCGATGTCAAGCCAGGTGTGAATGAGATCAGGAGTCAGTATGGAGGCAGCATCAGAACATTTCACAGTTGATGTTGATGTCACGAACGTGGTCGAAGCGCCATACTATCGCTATGGACAGACATCGAATGCAGAATGGGAAACTATCAAAATGAGAGATGCTCCACAGACGATAATGGAATCGGATAAATGTGTGGTTGTTGTTGCCACAGAGGATGCAAGAAAACTAACCAATCCTGACGAACTGATGTCTCGTTATGAAGAAATTATGGGGATGGTAAATTATGCTGCAGGTTTTGACGAGTCCGAAGATCCGCCACGTGGTAAACAGTGGCTGGTGAACGATGCTCTTATCAGTGTTGGATCAGCCCACTCCGGATTTCCACTTATGTTTTGGCGTGTGTATTATAACATGGCTGATAATAACACTCCCTATGAATGGGTAAGTTGGCATGAACTTGGTCACAACTACCAACAAGGACCATACTGGTCATATGCTTATGGTAGCGAATCAACAGTCAACTTGTTTTCGCTGTACATTCAGGAGCAGCTGTTCGATAGTGACAGTTTGGAAGAGCAGACAGTTACGTCACAGCAGCTGATAAAGTGGACAATGGAATGACTTTTGACGAGGGAGACGTGTGGGATATGCTGGTGTTCCTGATGGAGATCAAGCATGCCTTCCCATTAGGGTGGGAAATGTTCCGTCAGCTATCGTCGTACTCGCTCTTTCTGACGATGAAGCCAAATATTTGACGCAATATCATCAACGGCAAATCGACCATGTGTACAAAAACCTCAGCAAGATCGTGGGCTACGACCTAGTCCTTACCTACGAGCGCTGGGGTCTGAGCCTAAGCCAGGAAGCCAAGGACGAAATAGAGCAACTGGGTCTGGAGAAGGCGCCGGGAGACCTCTCTCACCGAGCCGCGGGAAAGCCGTCTCAAGTAACAGATGTGTCCGACGCTCAGATGTATACACCATGTGCTATCCTACAGATGAAGGTCTAAGGGAAAAGGCTTTCTAAAGATTTAAAGATCCAAAGTTGATAGTTCGA